AATAAACCCTTTTTTGTTAGTATAAGGGTTTGCTTAAATTTGGTGGGGTTGTTATTAAATCGTCTCCATTTTTTATAGTTTTCTTATCTTGTTTTTAAAGAGCTTTATGTTGTCTTCCTTTATTTAAAAAAAACTGGTCCTACTGAGCATGGTGATTTAATAATTTAAATGGATTATCGTAAAACTTGATATAACAACTGAACGTTAAAAATTAAACTCAAATCGTTTAATTTTAAAATCTATCAGATCGACACATTAAAATGTAGTGAGACTATTGACTAGACTAACTTCTACCCCCATCGACTATATAATCGACTAACTACTACTACATACTACCACTACCTGCATAACTATCTGCCTCTATGTGGTGGCTTCAAGGATGGTTGTGGATCTTGTCTCACTAATAACTCTGCTTTAGCATTGTAGGAACGAAGCCTTTACGATTATAGGTTGTCACTCAATCCCTAAAACTTTTTTACCTTTTAAGCCCCTTGCCCCATGTGTCCTATCCAATAATTGTAAGGTTAAAGTGGTTGGTATTAGTGTCGAGAAACGTAAATAGCTAATCAATGGTAAACGAAGATTAGTCACTAACCACGGGGCAGGTTTAATATCTAGACTTGTCCATGTACACCAGAGGGAGCGCAAGATTGCCATTACATAGCACGCGTGATAGGGTAAGAAAATTCTGCTGACGCTAAGTTGATACACATACACTATAGGTTTAATTCTTCTTCTTTTTATAATGAGCAATATCAGTTGGTTTGCTCTCAACTTGAAAAACAAAATCAAATCAGTTGCTGATCAGCACTTGTCGAAGCAAGGTCTGTGCGCGACGTTTTTAAAATACACACAGAAATACAACAACAAAATTTTGAGAAAGCCGAATTAATGTAGGAGAACATGAGAGAACAGTTGATAGTTTTTTATATATAGACTTTGATATACGCTAGCTGTCAAAATCCGTAATAAATATTTGACAGTTAGCATATACATTATAGTTTGTAGTCATTTTATTAGTATACTTTTATTTTGAATTGAATTCTGTTCTCTGCTGCTTACCAACACAAATAAACTATGGTAGTCTATGGTAGTATGTGTTTGAGCAACACTGATGTACACCGTCACTGCATTGATCATCCATTCCATTACATGCCTATTAGTGGGTCCAATATATGAGTGATAAAAATAAAACAACTAATATATCAACAGCAAAAATGAGGAGCTACTCTCCACTAGCCAAGAGATTTTGGACGAATCATAAGGTATTAAGAGCACTCTCTTCTACTCTCCAAAATCAAGATAAACCCTCCTCAATCAGAAGCCAAGATAGTCGACCTATAGAGGAAAAGCAGAGTACGTAGGAAGTGTCAAAAAGAGTTGCTGAGACGGATGCCCACATGAGCTGGGCATCTAAGGAAGCTGCCCAAAATACAAAGAAGTCCAAGCGATACAGCTTTCAGACAAATGGAGGTAAACCCTTAAAAGGAATAAGGTAACCGATGGAAAAGCCGGGACTCTCGACTACAACTGCCAGACTACCCTTTAAGGAGATAGAGAAGAATCATCTCCTCTTGATCCGGGAAAACACAAAGGTGATGTTATTAGCCCTGTAAAAACAGGATCGAATCCAAATTAGTATAGTTGGATATGAATCACTTTCTTTCAAATAAGTATAGTACCTCGTTTTGATTCCAGTGATATTCACAAGGGATACAGTGTTTTCGATTGTCCTGACTAGTTCTCGAAGGACTGTCTTGGCAAATATATTGGTGTAAGTCATAAGCTGATACCAGCCGAAAAAGTTCCAATAAGTTTATCAAAAATTGCAATCGAGGCACCAAAGATGTTGGAGTGTCTGAAGCTACAGAATCCCAAAATACATATGAATGACTGATGATGGACCATCCATACCGAATAAGGCGATAGAATTAGATTCCGAGGAACTAGAAAAGGCGAATTTTAGGGTGTTCTTCGGAGGAGGGACGTTAAGGTAAAGATGTTTCGGCCAAACAAATCGGCGAGTGGTGAGACATATGATGTTGAAACACTATATCTTTCTGCTCATCGGTATGACGCTCAATATGTAAGCCTATGGAGAACTCTATGATCTCAATATTCGAGGCAATATACGAATTTTTTTCGATAGCCAAGCGGTACTTCTTTCATTAAACTCCTATACCACCTCCTACCTATTAGTCAGACAATGTAAGAAGAATTTGTTAAGGCTGAGTCATCTGTCTGACATTATAGAAATATGGTTCCCTGCGCATAGGGACTACTTTGGCAATAAGCAGGCAGATGAGCAAGACAGAACTGAATCTGCTTTGAATATCTTCAAAGCTGTTTCAGTATCAACTCCGTTGGGTTCTATCAACAGTAGTATCCTCAGGATCTTTCTTTAAATCGCTGAAAATATATGGAATATAATTACAGTGGTCAAGTTAAGGTGGGTTTCTTTTAATGAGAATCGCACCAGATAGCATATAACTCGGATTATATCGAGGTTACTGACAATAATAACTTGATACTAGGCTATAGGCAGATATGCAGGTCAGAATGGGCTCCCCTTTAATGAATACTGTTGCAGTTGCAAAAACAGAGAAAGGGAAGAAATGGTCTCCCATCTGCTCTGCGATTTTCTTGCTCTAGCCGCCAAGAGATACAAATTTCTTGGTCATTACTTAATAGCCAAACTTGGTGAGTTGTCTGTGTCAAAACTCAATGATCATCTTATACAGAACCATCGTCAAAAACACCCAAAGTGGCGACCAATTTAGGAAAATGGATCATAAATTGCCAAGCAGTGGTATATGAGTTTTGGGAAACCGTACACAGCACGACCAAGTTAAGAAAGGTTTAAGTTAAACCGCTCGCAGAAAGAGAGTGGAAAATCTCCTTAAAGGAGAAAAGTAGCGTAAAGAATAGTGTTCTGGAATTCTCAATCAAGTTCGACAACATCAGCAAGAATACTCTTTAACAAGTTCTTTTCATTTAGATTATTCAACTAAATGACAGAGCTCATAAACCACCAAAATGGTTTAAAGGAAATTCTCCAAGTTGGAAAGTCGATCTATATATTCATATAGAAATCTAGGAACACTCAAGTAAAGATTGAGTTTTCAATGAAACTCCATAGAGTAAAGTTGAAGAGTTTTAATGATATTCACTAGAGTATAAACGGTTGGAGTATTCTAAGGTCTTCATCAGTCAAAACATAACCTCACTTCGAGCTAAAACGACAGTACGACGTTGACACAGACTGCTCAGTTATACAAAGTAATGCATTACATAAGTGTGAATGAGACGTATGGAATGAGATATATGGTGTCAAAAACCCTGTAGTACCAGAATGGGTTGCCGTCGATAATTAGCGGAGCTTGTTATGGAACACTTGTTAGTAAGTATAGCAGAGGTCTTACTCTGGTGCGATTTATTGGAAATACAGGGTGATTAAATGTATTGATGATATCTGCAAGACCTTTTTAACAAGGTATTGCTAAGACTAGTTATGAATATATTAAACAAATCTATAAGCTATAGGGCCTAAGCGAAAGGACCTGAAAGTTTTCGAAAATATTTGAAATTAATGACAAGACTAAGTAAAAAATAAATTACAAATGTTTAAAATGGTGGATTGTATGAAAACTTAGGTTCCTATATGATTTTTAAAGGAATGCTTTTCAAAAAAAATTAATTTTGTAATTAGTATTTTAGAAAGACAGGCGAAACTCTGAGTTACAGTTTTCCAAAGGATTAGGCCAGTTTCTCCATCACATCTGAGTTTCGAGATATCATGTCGTGAAAAACTTAATTTTTCGCTCTTTTTGAGAAGTTATAACAGTGCCAAGACAACTTTGTTTATATCTCGAAGGCTAAAAGAGATATGTCAGATCTCAAGCTTTTATTTTAAAGCTGACATAATGGTCTTTCAGTTGGCATACAACATTTTATAAATATAGTTGTCTTGGCGCTGTTTTATAACGTCTAAAAAAGGGCCAAAAAATGGCATATTTTTACATTTCAGAACACGATATCTCGAATCTTAGATGTGTTGGAGAAATTCTCCAACACATTCTTAAGGTATGTTAAATCTCAAGCTTTTATTTTAAAGCTGACAAAATGGAGTTTCAGCTGGCATACAACATTTATAGTTGTCTTGGCGCTGTTTTATATCGTCTAAAAAGGACCAACAATGGCATATTTTTACATTTCAGAAAACGATATCTCAAATCTCAGATATGAACACGATATCTCGAATCGGATTCAGATCAGATCAGTCGAGACGATTTTAAACCTATATGATACATTTAAACTATTTAACTTCAGTTTTTAGCGTTATAGTATTATATCAAGTATTAAAGGTATTCCATGAAAATCGAAAAAATACCCTACTGCTTACCTATTAAATATATATAAAATCAAATTAACACTAAATCTCTGTGTTAATTTTGATGTAAAAGACAAATTTTCCTTAATAACGACCAAATGTCAACAATGAATGTAGAATGAAAGAGATCTTGTTCATAAGTACTAAAAATAGACAGAAATAGAAAAAAATAAGATGAAAAATATGAAGAAAGAATTTTTAAGCAACAGCAAATTGAAATTTTGAATATGAAAATTAGTTGGTTTGTTTTTTTTTTTGTTTTGGTTGATAGAACTAAAAGAAGAATCATGCATTTCTCTCAAATAAAAATGACTATGTTTTAAAAAATAAAGATAATAGTATGATTTTTGTTTAAAGAAAAAAAGTATAATAAATAGTTTTAAAAAGGTTTGATTGTTTTAAGCTCAATAATAAATAAATTTAACAAAAAACAACAAGTTTTTTGTTTTCTTTAAATATTTTGTTGTTGTTGTTGTTTGGTGCAAGTAAAAACATTGTTTGTGCTAAAAAAGTTTATATAAAAAATTTTAATATTTTGTAAAATTTGTGCAAAAAATTTCAATTTGTAATATTACAACATTCCGCCCTTATTTAAAGTTAAAAAGTTTCTAAACTCTTTTCATTTGTATAATGTTTTGTTTTTTCGTTAAGTATATATATTGTTTTCTTTTAAGTTTAAGACTAGAACCGTTTGTTTTTTATATATATTCTCCGTTTTTATCGTTTCATAAAACACTGACTTACTTAACTAACTTAAATTAAAAACTAAAAAAATCGCAATTTTAAATTAAAAAAAAAAACAGTTTTATAGTTTTTTGTTTAAGTTTAAAAAAAAATAGTTTTTGGTCTTCTTACGCTTCTTGAGTTTTAGTATTGATCGATGTCTGTTGTTTATTAAATTCAAGACCTTGTAGTATACTATTGTTCAAAGAGGCCAATGGTGTGGCTGTAATGCCATCACGCAATGCCAACTGATAGGCCACCTCAAATGCTTGACCCAAAGTCAATATTATATCGGAAGCCAAGTCCTGTTAAGCAATTAAAAGAATATTCCATCAAATCATAATTTATGCACAATTTGAAAACTAAAAGACTAAAATTTGCTACAAAAACTTACCGTACTCTCTACATAAAAAACATGACAATAGTGCACATCATTTTCCTTGGTAATATAGGCAAAATGACATAGATCTTCTGCATCTTGACATGCACAATTTATATTTTGGATTTCATGTTCACAAATGGTGTTCTACAAATCATAAATGCCGTATGGGGGAGAAAAAGAGACAAAAGAAAACAAAAAAATACATTTAATTGGTATTGCTGTAAATCGATCGTGCCTTAAACACACACACACACATACCTTGCTGTTCACATCTATAAACTCTACACCCCTGTGCGAGATGGCCAATGACACTAGTATACGTTTTTGTTTATTAAATGATTGATTACGGGCAGCATTGGTTTCTGACTGGGAAGACATTAACATATTGGTAGCAGTGTTAGCAGCAGCAGCATCAGTAGTATTATGCTGTTGATCTTGTTTTAGTTTTTGTATGGATTTGCGTGTCGATTCGGTGCCACGTAATTCTTTCACAACCGTTGAGCCTAAATACTGCAAAGAATTAATTGGAATTTTCTTTATTTTTATCAAATATATGACACAATTTTCTTAAGAAGAAGGGAAGACCAGGAAACAGTTGTTCAAATGTCTTTTCTTAAATTTCGAAAAACCATTAATTATAATTAATATACATCTTAAATTGTCGATGGGTTATAAATGTATTGTGTTATAAATATACACACACCACTATGCCCTGAGATTATAGAGTTTAAAAATCTTGATGTATGGAAGTCAATACCTTGACATCTGTTGCCATAATATAAGTGTTTTGTTTTAACAAAAACATTTGATCAATCTATTAAGTTTTAAGTTTCTGAATTTGTGTTCGGGGAATCAGGGGAATTTCAAACTGTCAAACACGTAAAGGCTATTAAGGCTATATTAACTTTCAAGCTTATTTTTAAAACAAAATTTATGGACAACTTTTAATAAATATAAACTCTTGATAATTTAGGAAAATGTTTTCCCATTTAAAAATATTTGGATAAATTGTTTATTTTTAGAGAATTCTTGAACAAATCATACATTTATAGAATTTTTTATGATAAAAAGAAAATTTATCTGAAAATGTTCTATAAAAAGAAAAGTTATCTGAAAATTTTCTATAAAAGAAAAGTTATCCGAAAATTTTCTATAAAAAGAAAATTTATCTGAAAATTTTCTATAAAAAGAAAATTTATCTGAAAATTTTCTATAAAAGAAAATTTATCCGAAAATTTTCTATAAAAAGAAAATTTATCCGAAAATTTTCAATAAAAAGAAATTTATCCGAAAATTTTCAGTAAAAAGATAATTTATCCGAAAATTTTCTATAAAAAGAAAATTTATCCGAAAATTTTCTGTAAAAAGAAAATTTAACAGAAAATTTTCTGTAAAAAGAAAATTTAACCGAAATTTGATCCGAAAATTTTCTATAAAATTGAAAATTTATCCGAAAATTTTTTATAAAAAAATGTATCCGAAATTTTTTTATAAAAATTTATTCGAAAATTTTCGATAAAAAAAAAAATTTATCCGAAGATTTTCAATAAAAAGAAAATTTTATCCGAAAATGTTCTATAAGACGAAAATTTACTCCGTGTAATGATTTATATTTACAAAATACACATTTATGACGTATTTTATCACGATAACTTTGTTTGTCCATGTGCGTTTAAGTGATTTTCAAAAGTGGACTTTATATGGGAGATATGACCAATTAGAATTTTATGATAATTTTCTATAAAAAGAAAATTTAAGCGAAAAATTTCTATAAAAACAAAATATAAATTTTCCGAAAATTTTCTATAAAAAGAACATTTTTCCGAAAACTTTCTATAAAAAGAAAATTTATCGAAAACTTTCTATTAAAAGAAAATTTTTCGAAAATTTTCTAAAAAAAGAAAATTTATCGAAAACTTTCCATAAAAAGAAAATTTGTCCGAAAATTTTCTAAAAAAAGAAAATTTATCGTAAACTTTCCATAAAAAGAAAATTTATCGAAAACTTTCCATTAAAAGAAAATTTATCGAAAACTTTCCATAAAAAGAATATTTGTCCGAAAATTTTCTATAAAAAGAATATCTATCGGAAAATTTTCTATAAAAAAAATTTTATGCGAAAATTTTCTATAAAAAGAATATTTATCTGAAAATTGTCTATAAAATGAAAAATTTATCCGAAAATTTTCGATAAAAAGAAAAATTTATCCGAAGATTTTAAATAAAAGAAAATTTTATCCGAAAAATTCTATAAAAATAAAATTTATCCGAAAACTTTCTAAAACAAAATTTATCCGAAAATGTTCTATAAGACGAAAATTTACTTCGTATAATTATTTATATTTACAAAATACACATTTATGACGTATTTTATCCCGATAACTTTGTTTGTCAATGTGCGCTTAAGTGATTTTCGAAAGTGGACTTTATATGGGAGATATGACCAATTACGGGCCTATCCGGAAAAAAATCGTAGAGTGAATCGTATGTACACGAAACATATTTTTGTCGAATTTTATTAAGATGCCTTTATTTGCCAATGAAATATGTGCGTTTAAGTGATTTTCGGAAGTGGACATTATATGGGAGCTATTACCAATTAAGATCCGATTCGGAAAAAATCCGGTAGAATCATTTATATGCACACAAAACATATTGAAGTCGAACTCTATCACGATAGCTTTATTATTCAAAGAAATACATGCATTTAAGTGATTTTCGAAAGTGCACTTAATATGGGAGATATGACCAATTACGGGCCTATCCGGAAAAAAATCGTAGAGTGAATCGTATGTACACGAAACATATTTTTGTCGAATTTTATTAAGATTGCTTTATTTGCCAATGAAATATGTGCGTTTAAGTAATTTTCGGAAGTGGACCTATGACCAATTACGGGCCTATCCGGAAACCATTTCATAGAGTGATTCACATATAGACAAAACATATTTGTGCCGAATTTTATCACAATAGCTTTATTAATCATCGAAATATGTGCATTTTCGGAAGTGGACCTTATATGGCAGCTATGACCAATTGTGGACCAATATAGATCTACGTTGGTATTATGATTCCTCTTCATGTTATATTATATGTGGAAAATTTTGTGTTGATACCGATATATTTGAGGGAGTTATTCACGATAAATTAATATCCGGAAATATGTAGCTTTGTACGGAGACTATGGGAAATTTTGGATCGCTTGTTATAATTTTCGAAATCTCTTTGGTAGTTTCTGAGAAAACTGCTTTAGAATTAGGAAAAAAACTCAATTTTTTCGAGATTGTCTGAAATTTGTATTCATAACTTTTTATGTTGTGAACCGATTTTACTGGTTTTCAATATGAAACTGTTTAGGATAATAATAAATATTTTCGGTGAATTTGCTTGATTGTTTTACACAGACAGACAGACAGACTGACGGACAGATGGCCATAGCTAAATCGACTCAGAATTTGATAAGGATCCGAAATATATATACTTTGTTGGGTCTCAGATGACTATTTATTGGTGTTACAAACGGAACGATAAACTTATATATACCCTCTATCACCACTGATTTTTTTTTTCTATACAAAATTTTCGGATAAAATTTCTTTTTATAAAAAAATTTCGGAAAAATTGTTAAATTTCCATTTTATAGAAATTTTTTATTTTTTTTTAATTAATTATTTTTGTTATTTTAATTAATTATATTTGTTATAAATATGTAGTAACTCACATAAACTTCATATTTTATTTGTTCGTTGAGCAAATCATTTGCAGAATGCCTCCATTTTGTGCGCAAATTGTCAGGTAAACCTAAAAGTAATTCCGAAGGAGCACGTATATCCAAAGATGTCTGAGCTGTAGGTGTTTGTTGTGTTGCCTTCTGTATGGGAGGTTGAGGAGCAGGTCTTCAATGAAAAATAAAAAAATAATAAATTTTTCTACAAACTTTAACCAGTAATTTGCAACTAACCTATTTTTACGATAACCAGTTATCGATTGCCTTTGAGTGCCATCTTTAGTGTTGACATTTAAAGATATCTTATTGGTCTCATTGTTTTCTGCCAGAGGAGTTTTGGCCGATTTGGGTTCTCGCATATTTTTAATAAAGGCTATCGATTGAAGAATGCGACGACGATGACCCAGTTTATTGATTTCCAATACAGTTTGTAACTCCACATCCCAAACGCCACAAACACTATCCAAAGTGTTGTAAAGATGTTTGCTTTTTTTATAGGAAAAATTAAATATTTTGCTAAAATTTTGAGAATTTTCAAAAATGTTTTCATTAAGTTACCTAAACGATTCAGTGTATTGGGGCAATTGTATGCTTTGAAGCCATTGTTGAAGAGTTGAAACACCTTTCAGTTCAGTTAAAGATTTATTTTCCTGTTGATTTTTCTGTGGAACTTGTGGTAAAAATTCGGCTTTAGGTAAAGTTTTTATAAACCTCAGTAATTTGGCAGTATCCTGCTGGGATATATTTAAAAACTCTATATCGGATTCTTCGAAAACACCATTCTGTAATAGGAATAAAGTTAAAGCTAATATGGATATGGTTTTCAAAGTTTTTAACTCACCATAAATTTAACATTATCATAACCCTGCTCGAACAGTTTCTTTTCCAAATGCATTAAACCCGATTTCCTTAAACGACTTACAAGTTCTTGTCTCTCTGCTGGTATTTCAGTATCATCGAAATCCAAATCATTAGTAGGAGAAATATCAGAATTTAGTATACTACTGCCGAAGGATTCTAGAATTTCGGAAATTTTCTTTCTAGCTTCTTCGGCATTAAAAGGACTTAGTATACTGCTCTCATGTGATGTTGTTGAGTTATTGGCTATGGAACTTGTATCTTCATTGGAACTTTCATTAGTAGGTTGTGACGAAGTCAACTGTGATTGTTCTTCATTCGAAGAACTATTGATGGAACTTTGATGACTTAAAATATCACTGTTTGGTTTCTCTTGAGACTCTTGCTTGACTTCGTTTATTTTACTAACATTATTTTCCACAATTGTCTTTGGTTCCATTATGTCCTCATACAGGTCTTCGGTGTCATTTTTCATTTCATGATCTAGAGTTTCTGCTTCGTTGTTACAGTCAGTCGTTGTTTCTTGGGGCTCTGCCGTAGGCAGTTGTGGTGTTGTGGCTTTGAATAGTCTTCTCTCGGGTACAACGGGTTTGGCTGGTATTGGAGGTCTGGCCTTGTTAACATTTTGCTGTTCCGCAGCTTGAGCTGTTGTCGATATACCCCGTTTTTTATGTATGGTAGCGTAAACGGGCACCTGAGCTTGTGGAGGCAGTTGTTGTTGTGGTCTAGGTGGTGGTAGTTGGACTTGAGGTGGGTTAATTTTGGAGGTTTTATTAACCGTTGCATATGCTGGTTCAATTTTTTGTTTATTACTACTATGGGCAGCTGAACCTTTTAGGAGGCCCGCAAATGGTTGGTCGCCAATAAATTCTTCTACATTTTCGGTGGAACCACTGTGATCAGATAAGGAGACACTAGAACTTAAGGAACCCATAGAACCTCTAATGCCTCCTGATCCAATAGTGGAATAGATGTTGGATGAAACAGTGTTGGTATTAAGTTTAGTGGGCGAAGGTTGTATGTAGGCGTAATCATAGTGTGATGTTAGATTAGTATTATTGCTATTGTTGTTGCTGTTGTTATTTATTTGCCTTAGGGGTGAAGTACCCATATCCACCAATAATTGTTGTTGTTTTTGCAATTGCAAAAGTGCTGATCGCCGTTTGTATTCCTGACTCAAAGGTCTTATGCGTTCGTGTATCATTTTCTCGGCCTGACTAGAAGAAGGAGGAGGATGATCGGGTGTGGGTGGTTGTTTATAGTTAGTAGGACTTCTGGGTATTTGAGGCTTATTTTCATCTCCCTTTTCATCTTTATCACCCAAAGTTATAGAGCTTAAATAACATTATATTATTAATTATAGTTTATTTTTATTTCATGATCTCACTACTTACTAGCTATTACGATTCCTTTTTAATTTACGATTTGGATTGTATGACTTCAGTGTACCGTTATCATTACTTATTGTAACCTCATTAATGTTATTTATATTTCTTGGTGCTGGTTTTGGTCTCTTCATTGAATTGGTGATTTCCTGATTTGAATTTGGCACTAAATTCTCCACATCATCACTATGATGACGCTTCTCCAACATATCAGCTTTATGAACAAAAGAGTTTTGTTTTAAATCATTAATACTAATTGATTATTTTTCTTGAGCTTACTACTTGAGCTTAGCGATATTCCCCCCGATGTCCGTGCCGTCTCCCGGGCACTAGCAAACAAACGATTTCCTCTTTGACGCTCCGCTAGCTGTGATTCATCAAAACTTATTCCTCCAACACTACCATGACTTTGATGTGAATAGGGACTGTCATTTGATGGACTTCGGGTTTGTCTTCTGCCATAGTTATTCTGCTGTTGATGATTGGGTGAAGTGTAACTAAATGGTTGTCCACTATTTGTGGGTGATACCGATAGATTACGTCGTGGTGGTTTCTTAGGCGGTCCCCCAGGTCCAAAGCTGCTCATAGGCGGTGGATTTCCCACGAAACTAGAAACACCTCCTGCAATAAATTAATTAAGATTAAAATAGGCAGAAGAATTGACAAAGACACTAGACTATAGACTAGACTATAGACTAGACTATAGACTAGACTATAGACTATAATATAAACTAGACTATAATATAAACTAGACTATAGACTAGACTATAGACTAGACCATAGACTAGACTATAAATTAGACTATAGACTAGACTATAGACTAGACTATAGACTAGACTATAGACTAGACTATAGACTAGACTATAGACTAGACTATAGACTAGACTTTAGACTAGACTATAGACTACACTATAGACTAGACTATAGACTAGACTATAGACTAGACTATAGACTTGACTATAGACTAGACTATAGACTAGACTATAGACTAGACTATAGACTAGACTATAGACTAGACTATAGACTAGACTATAGACTAGACTACAGACTAGACTATAGACTAGACTAGACTAGACTATATACTAGACTATAGACTAGACTATAGACTACACTATAGACTAGACTATAGACTAGACTATAGACTAGACTATAGACTAGACTTTAGACTAGACTATAGACTAGACTATAGACTAGACTATAGACTAGACTATAGACTAGACTATGGACTAGACTATAGACTAGACTATAGACTAGACTATAGACTAGACTATAGACTAGACTATAGACTAGACTATAGACTAGACTATAGACTAGACTATAGACTAGACTATAGACTAGACTATAAATTAGACTATAGACTAGACTATAGACTAGACTATAGACTAGACTATAGACTAGACTATAGACTAGACTATAGACTAGACTATAGACTAGACTATAGACTAGACTATAGACTAGACTATAGACTAGACTATAGACTAGACTATAGACTAGACTATAGACTAGACTATAGACTAGACTATAGACTAGACTATAGACTAGACTTTAGACTAGACTATAGACTACACTATAGACTAGACTATAAACTAGACTATAGACTTGACTATAGACTAGACTATAGACTAGACTATAGACTAGACTATAGACTAGACTATAGACTAGACTATAGACTAGACTATAGACTAGACTATAGACTAGACTATAGACTAGACTATAGACTAGACTATAGACTAGACTAGACTATATACTAGACTATAGACTAGACTATAGACTAGACTATAGACTAGACTATAGACTAGACTTTAGACTAGACTATAGACTAGACTATAGACTAGACTATAGACTACACTATAGACTAGACTATAGACTAGACTATAGACTAGACTAGACTATATACTAGACTATAGACTAGACTATAGACTAGACTAGACTATATACTAGACTATAGACTAGACTATAGACTAGACTATAGACTAGACTATAGACTAGACTATAGACTAGACTATAGACTAGACTATAGACTAGACTATAGACTAGACTATAGACTAGACTATAGACTAGACTATAGACTAGACTATAGACTAGACTATAGACTAGACTATAGACTAGACTATAGACTAGACTATAGACTAGACTATAGACTAGACTTTAGACTAGACTATAGACTACACTATAGACTAGACTATAGACTAGACTATAGACTAGACTATAGACTTGACTATAGACTAGACTATAGACTAGACTATAGACTAGACTATAGACTAGACTATAGACTAGACTATAGACTAGACTATAGACTAGACTATAGACTAGACCATAGACTAGACTATAAATTAGACTATAGACTAGACTATAGACTAGACTATAGACTAGACTATAGACTAGACTATAGACTAGACTATAGACTAGACTATAGACTAGACTATAGACTAGACTATAGACTAGACTATAGACTAGACTATAGACTAGACTATAGACTAGACTATAGACTAGACTTTAGACTAGACTATAGACTACACTATAGACTAGACTATAGACTAGACTATAGACTAGACTATAGACTTGACTATAGACTAGACTATAGACTAGACTATAGACTAGACTATAGACTAGACTATAGACTAGACTATAGACTAGACTATAGACTAGACTATAGACTAGACTATAGACTAGACTATAGACTAGACTATAGACTAGACTATAGACTAGACTATAGACTAGACTAGACTATATACTAGACTATAGACTAGACTATAGACTAGACTATAGACTAGACTATAGACTAGACTATAGACTAGACTTTAGACTAGACTATAGACTAGACTATAGACTAGACTATGGACTAGACTATAGACTAGACTATAGACTAGACTATAGACTAGACTATAGACTATACTATAGACTAGACTATAGACTAGACTATAGACTAGACTATAGACTAGACTATAGACTAGACTAGACTAGACTATAGACTAGACTATAGACTAGACTATAGACTAGACTATAGACTAGACTATAGACTAGACTATAGACTAGACTATAGACTAGACTATAGACTAGACTACTAGACTAGACTAGACTATAGACTAGACTAGACTATAGACTAGACTATAGACTAGACTATAGACTAGACTATAGACTAGACTATAGACTAGACTATAGACTAGACTATAGACTAGACTATAGACTAGACTATAGACTAGACTATAGACTAGACTATAGACTAGACTATAGACTAGACTATAGACTAGACTATAGACTAGACTATAGACTAGACTATAGACTAGACTATAGACTAGACTATAGACTAGACTATAGACTAGACTATAGACTAGACTATAGACTAGACTATAGACTAGACTATAGACTAGACTATAGACTAGACTATAGACTAGACTATAGACTAGACTATAGACTAGACTATAGACTAGACTATAGACTAGACTATAGACTAGACTATAGACTAGACTATGGACTAGACTATAGACTAGACTATAGACTAGACTATAGACTAGACTATAGACTAGACTATATACTAGACTATATAATAGATTATAGACTAGACTATATAATAGATTATAGACTAGACTATATAATAGATTATAGACTAAACTATATAAGAGACTATAGACTAGTATATAGACAGAAGATTAGTATCAATAGCGTAAATTTCAACCTAAAAAGCACGCACAAAGCCGGAACCTATAGCAGTTCCTACGCTTTTTAAAAAAAGTTTAACAATGTTCAATATCTCTTACCAGTTGAGCACCTAGATCTGGGTGAAATTGAAGCTGGTTCAAAACTGCTCATCGATGAGGAAGGACTAACACCCATATCACTGAAAAAAATTAAAATTAATAAATCGTTCAAAACTTCATTTCCACAACTTACTTTTGTGAAGTATTCGATTGACTACGCACAGGTGAGTTTAAAGTGTCATGATAGAAACGATTATTACCAGCCCCACCACCACCACCACCCGTATTTGGAGAATTTTCATCTAATTGTAAACCACTATCTAAAGATTTGCCACCACCATTGAATGTGGCACCGGAACTAAATCTCTGCTTGTTATAGGAAGATTGTTGCATCGACAGCGAATGATTGAGTAAATGATTATTGGAATTGAAATGATAATGATTATTATGTTGTTGCTTTTGATGATGACCACCAGAGGTTTGATTGCGTTGACCCAGCTGTGTTGGTTGCTGATGGCGATAGATGACCTCTTCACTATCATCCGTATCCATTTGATTACGAAAGTCTGGAGTAAAAGAACAACAATAATAATGAACAATTGCTTTTATAGGGGTATGATTAACTTACTATTTATAACATCGATAATATGTTTGGTTACATGTGCTGGAAACTCTTTAAGTATATCCAAAACAGTACGCTCCTCAGCATCTGTGGCATTAAGATCAATACCGGCTTTTAATAATGTACGCACCACAGACTCTTTGCCGCATAAGGCTGCCTCATGTAATGCCGAACCCGAGGGCGTTAATAAGTTGACATTTACACCGGCCCCTAATAAAACCTCTACGACTTGTTTGTGGCCATTACGACTGGCCAAGTGTAGACAGGTGTGTGGAAATACACAACGTGTTGGTGTAGCTGGTGATGATAGAACCGATGGTGAGGAGGGCGATGGTGTTGATATTGAACCAGAGTGTGGTAAAGGTGAAGAGTGTCGTGATCTATTGTTAACTTGATTTTCAGTAGCTTGTTTCGTATAGGAAGCTATTAATTCAGGATGGGCGCGTATAAGCATTTGTACTGCCTGCAAACGTCCATATTGACAGGCAAGATCTAGAGGTGTTTCACCTCTGGTATTTCTCATATTAGGATCGGCTTCATGAGCCAATAACATCGATAGTACTTCCGTGTGACCATGTTGACTGGCACAGTGTAAAGGTGTCTCTTTTTCTATGGTCTGTAGATTAGGATTTGCTGGTCTATAGGGATGTGTTAATAGCATCTTGACAATTTCTTCTTCACCCGCCCATGAGGCCAAATGCAGGGCCGATGATCCTCTCATATCGGGTAAATTTGGTGAGGCTTCATGTGCCAGTAGTAATTTCACTATATCAGTATGTCCATTTATGCAGGCATGATGTAACGCTGAGTAGCCTCCACTGTCTTGTACATTGACTCCAGTACCACGCCTTAAACTTGCCAGTGGACCAGCACGTTTGGCTTTCTGATTAAGTACTTTTTCGATATATGAAATATTGCCACTGCGGGCAGCCTCGAGAAATTCCTGGTCCTTACCCATTTTGTTGTGCGTAAATAGTTTTTATTTTATGTGGAGGGGTGACAAAGAGTTTCTTTTGGGATTTGAAACAAATTAAAGTTGGAATGTGATGTGCGCTTATGATTTATTGTAAAGAAGTTTGAAGATTATCTGTAAAAGACAGAAATTAATTTATAAAACAGTTTTAAAATGTGTATTGCGGAGTATAATAATATTCAGATTTCTATGATTTATAGCCTGCACAGTTAACTATGGTCGTATTGAACAGACTATAGATGACTTAGGTCGTATAGAATTGACTTAGGATGACTATAGACAACTACAAACTTTGTTCTATGCAAAATAACTATAATGGACTAAATTTCAACCAAAGATGACTAAAATTGACTACAGTTAACAAAAGATGGTTACAGTTGACTGTAGTCGAACGGAAATGACTATAGTCGACTATAGTATGTAGTACACAAAAGTTGACAGTATTAAATGGTTGACTATAATCGACTGGAGTTGACTATAGTCGACTCGAGTTAACTATCGTCGACCGGAGATGACAATTTGTAGTACACAAAAGTTGACAGTATTTAAGGGTTAACTGTAGACGACAGGTGTTGACTATAGTCGATCGGAGATGACTATATATAGTACACAAAATTTAAAGTATTCAAGTTTTGACTATAGTCGACTGGAGTTGACTATAATCGACCGTAGATGATTATATGTAGTACACAAAAGCTGACAGTATTCAAGGGTTGACTATAGTCGACTGGAGTTGACTATAGTCGACAGGAGTTGACTATAGTCGACTGGAGTTAACTATAGTCGACAGGAGTTGACTATAGTCGACAGGAGTTGACTATAGTCGACAGGAGTTGACTATAGTCGACAGGAGTTGACTATAGTCGACAGGAGTTGACTATAGTCGACAGGAGTTGACAATTTGTAGTACACAAAAGTTGACAGTATTCAAGGGTTAACTGTAGACGACAGGTGTTGACTAAAGTCGACCGGAGATGACTATATATAGTACACAAAATTGACAGTATTCAAGTTTTGACTATAGTCGACTGGAGTTGACTATAGTCGATCATAGATGATTATATGTAGTACACAAAAGTTGACAGTATTCAAGGGTTGACTAAAGTCGACTGTATTTGACTATAATCGACTGGAATTGACTATAGTCGACTGGAGATAAATATAGTCGACCGGAGATGATTATTTGCAGTACACAAAAGTTGACAGTATTCAAGTTTAGACTTTAGTCAACTAGAGTTGACTATAGTCGAGCGGAGATGACAATATGTAGTTCATAAAA